CCCTTTTAAACTGGCAAAGTTTCATTGAAATCGGTGAGATGGCTTGTGCCACCCCCGCCTGGTCCTATCGTGGAAGCACTCTTAGTTGTCTGAATTTAATTACAAAGATCTCCAGTCGGAGTTTAACTACGTGTAGTCACAAGATGTTGTTGAGTGACAAGGAAAGAGCCATCACTAATCACAGATTAGGGATACTGGGGCCCCCACCTGGAGCCAGGCCTGGAATGGGAGCTCACTGGGGAGTGTCTGGTAACTAAGCCTTGGTGCCCCATGGGGCTCTGTCAGGCACAGCCCTAAAAAGTAGCATGGGGCCACCGCCCTGTGGGTCCAGCGCAATCAGAGTCGGGTGAAATGTGCACCAGGCAGTGGACAGGAGGGGGCACCTAGGCACACCGCCCCCTGGTGGTGTAGACTAGTTTTGTCAACATGGAACATCACCTCACTAGTGGGAAAGGAACCTGAACTGGTGCGGTAGGCAGAGCACTACTGGCTTCTTATAGTTGGGCTGACCTTCTTGCACAGTAAGAGTTCTGGAACCAAACTCCTGGACTCAACTGATCACTACTTGGTGATGAGTTGGATCCGATGGCAGGGAAGGCTGCCGGACAGACCTGGTAAACATAAACTTGTAGTGAGGGTGAACTGGGAACATCTGGCGGAAGCCCCTGTCCATGGGGTTTTCTACTCCCACTTTCGGAAGAGTTTCTCCTGCACCCTGGGGGAGGTTGGGGATATAGAATCCAAGTGCGCCATTTTTGAGTTTGTTCACTGAGTTCCTTTGGTTTGTTGGTCAGGTCTGGATCAGAATCACGGTGGGGAGTACGCTGCCTATGAGGCCCTGATTGAGAGGTTCATAGCAGCTCTCAGAACCTGTGAGGTCACTCCATACGTGCTTATGGATGGAGGCTCAGATCTCACAACCAAGGAGCTTGAAACNGTTGGAAGGTCGTTTCACCTTAGCCTACACAATTCAGTAGGCATGTGCAGAGGATAGGTATGCACAAAAAAGTCAATCAGCACCAAGCCCTAAACCTAACAGGAAGTTTTAATCTCATAAATTCAACTTTAAATGCATGATGATGATGATTAGTTGTTATTTTTCTTGTTAAAACTGCTAGTTAAACCAAAACTATGATGTATGTTGTTATTATTGATTTTTTGGGGGCAAATTTTGATTAACAAAGTTAAAATATTAATGTAATGTCAAATTCATTGAATAGTCATAATTTTACATTTTTACCATTTGTTTTAAACTGATAGTCAAAGATTTAATATAACAATCTCATAAACCTGACCTAAAACGGATGATAAATTAGACTTAAAAAAGTGAAAATGCTCATTAAATCCAAATGCTGAATTAAAATATGAATTACTGTCAAAATTAGAAAGTCAGAATTATGAGGTGGCTGATGGCAATTTGTTTTAATTTATGTTACATCAGTGAAAAAACATTTTTTAAAAGTAAAAATGTTCATTAAGTCAAAATTATGAGTTAAAAAACGTAATTACAGTCTAACTTTTACAACAAAAAGCAAGAACTGTAAGTTGTATATTTGACTTTTTACCTTTTAATATTGATTCATAGGTGAAAACTGAACTTTTAATCACCGTCTCCTATTTTACTTGTAAACTTCTATGTTTACTGTGGTTAATTTTAGCTGCATAGACAATAAAGACCTTTGTGGGTTATTTAAACACTGGGTGGTTCATATGTAACCAGGCGGAGCTGTGAATATTTTAGCTCCCTTTGTTTTTCAGATAAACTCGCTTCTGCTCTCAGTTGAATTGAGTTTACAGGTAAAGTATTCACTGCTGCTGTTTCTTTTTTCTGCTCAGGGCTCCTTTTAGTTTCACTTTTCTTTTTCACAGTTACACTGAATAAGTTTCACTTGAATATTATCTGTGTCAAAAACACATATTTTTAGGCACCAAATTGATTCTTTTCGGTACTAGTTTATAGCATGAATGAACGATTTAAAATATAATAAATTTTTTATATTTTATTCACATTTTTCTGCCATTTTATGATTTTTGTTTGGAGACTATAAATATCTTTTTAAAAAATGCACATCCATTTTTGGCATATTTAATTCTTTATTGATGTTTCTTTTTACATTGCAGGACTTTTTCAGACATTTAAATTACTTTAATAATTTTTATTAATGATTTAAAAAAAAAAAAA